GTCGCTTTCTGTCAGAGGTAGGAAAAAGTTGTCAACTGATAAAATGTTTGTGATATTATCATAAACAATTTATCAGTTGATAATTGTGTTATATCTTCCACAGAAACTAAGCTAATTGAGCTCGATGTTGACGGTTTGGGTGGGCTTCCAGCAGAGGAAATACGGAAAATGAATATTCGAAAACTCTAATACGAACCAATTTTTGTCAGAAATGGCTTATTCATACTAGAATTTTCAAACGGTGTTACCTTTAAAAGTTAATACAAAAAACCTATAAAAATTGCTGAATCATCAGAATCGCAACCAGCGTCAAATGATTCGAAAGTTCCCGAAAGCAAAAAAAAATTGAGCGATCAATTAACACCAAAAATGTGTCATCAATAATATGAAGAACTCCAAAAAACCTTCTGAAAAAAAAAGAGTGAAGAAAGCCTTCTGATTGCAAGTGAGTCACATCTTCTTCTCCGTCTCCCCAAGTTGTTGTGAATTTGAATTTTTTTCGTCACCAATGGGAAAAAACACCTGATTTGCGGGTAGTGCTTATTGCTTTTTTTTTGGTGCCACTTTACAACAAAAAATTGACAAAATGGAAATTTGAAATAAAACATTTATGTAAGGAAGAAAAGGCTTCATGTTCAGATGATCAAAAACTAGAGAAAAGGTTTCAAAAAAGGAAGAAATGAAAAAAATAAAAAGAGAAGAAGAAGTATAAATAGTGCATGTGCATATCTATGACTTTTTCTCATTTAATTAGGTGCAAGTGACATATATCTCTAGCCTATACTCTCTTCTACATATTTGTCTGATGCCAGTATATATAGACTGATGTCAGTTCTGACTGAAAAGGTACACAATAACTAGATAACTGATATTATTGGGGAAAAGAAGGGAGAGTCACGAGAAAAGAAAAAAGTGAGAATTTTGAAATTTTGTGACTAGTTATTATAACATGTAATGATGCAAACAATCTAAATCATTTTAATATTAGAGTGAAGGACACAAACAAGAAGATTAAATATACCGTAAAATATGAATGACACCCTAACTTCAAATTTTGAGCCGATTTATCTTGCTTCCTGTGAAAGATATCAAGAACTTGTCAACGGATAACATATTTCTGATATCATGATAAAAGCCATGCAAAACTACAAAATCATATGATTAGTGCAGAAGTACTCAGACTCTTCTAAGAAACTGTCAGACATTATGAGAATTTTGTATTTGCTGTTCTTGACCACAAAAGTTTGTTGTTGACCTTTTTTGGTGCTCATTATCGGCGAGATTGTAAAACAATGAAAATTTGGGAAGGCCGTAAATCCTGTAATAAAAGGGCTACCGCAAGTTTGAGCTCGATAAACAATGGATCAATCAACAACTTTTTTATATCTTTGACAAGAACCGAGTTATCTTGGCTCATAGTTAAAAGTTAGACATGTGAAAGTTTGATTTTGAAACTACGAAATTCGAAACATCTAGACAATGAAAACACAAATAATCACTTGACCAGATTCCCTGCTGACCTAATCTGATGTCTTAAGAAAAATCAGACTTTTATGCCACATTCTTGTTATAGAAGACGTGAGAAAATCGTCTTGCATAATGAAGGTTCGTGGGAGACAGCACCTTGGTTTTTTGATTTTATCTAGGGATGTTTGAATTTTTCTGGGTATGGTAACTTTTTTAAAATAATTTTCAGTTCTATAAAAAACTAACAATAGTTCCAACCTGGTTTAAGGGAAGATCCCATTTACCGTAAGCACTCTAATAGGAGGCCACTCTACCTTTCCACTTTGAGCTTAATTATTTCGGTTTCGAAAAGAGATACCAAAAAGTGGTTGACAGACAAAATATTGGTGATAGTATGACAAAGATTTTATTAGCTGACAATTTTTCAATATCTTTCACAGGAACCGAGATATATCGGCTCAAATTTGGTGGATTGGCTGGCCTTCTATTAGAGTGTTTACAAAAAAATTATGAGCTCAACCGCCTCCTCATTAATCATTGGGAAAATCTTTGGTATCTAGTGTGTACAAAATCAGCAGAGCATGGAGTGTACTGGAGAAAATCGAAATCATAAATCACGGAATATGACGAAACGGATACAGACCGTTCTAATGAGTAAGTGCATACAAAAACATGGATCACATGAAGAGCCAAAATCAAACCAACAAATCTGGAGATATTTCGTTGTTGACACGGAAAATAACAATTTTATTTCACAAACAAATTCAATTTGTACCTTCTCGCGATGTCCAAATGTTAGAGTAAAGTTTGTTGAAGTTTATGACAAGAAGAAAACAAATGTTTCATAAAAAATCAAAAATAGAAATTAGAGCAATAGAGGAAGCAAGGAAACAAAGTGAAGGTCCCACCTTATCAAGGTTGAGCTCAATTATCTCGGTTCTTGTCGAAGATATTTGAGAGTTGTCTACTGATAAAATGTAGATGAGATTATGGTATGCAATTTATCAGTTGACAACTTTTTGAAATCTTTGACAGAAAGTGAAAAAATATATAGGCTCAAAGTGAACAGTTAGGCGGCAGCTGAGAGGCTAGAAAAGTAAAATTACGATGTAAAATTTATGATAGCAAAAAGATCAACAAAAATTTAAGAAAATGGACATTATCTAGTTCTGAGAAAAATTTGAAAAATAATAACAACACTTTAAAAATCTAGGAAGTGCCTAGTACAAATTCTAGTGGACGTTCTCAATTTGCTATTTGTACAGGTGATGCGTAATCACCAAAGTTTGTGCTAGCATAAAATTTGAGCCTAGCATTGTACTGGGCTCAAATTTAGAGTGCAAAAATTATAATATTTCATCAATAAACTGACAAAGTTTCAAATTGTTTGATCTACTTTGAGCTGAGTTACCGCTTGGAAAAGTTTCTTCATCTCGTGATATTCGCTATTCCACTTTGGACAATCATAAAAGTACATGGAGTTGAAGAACCGCTTCACAAATTTGAGCAGCTTTGAATCAAACGTAAAATTTTATTTTTACCAATTTTCCTGCTTCCAGGATACTTATGTCTTAAGGTAATACGCATTTTTATCAGTCTGGCTAATTGCTCGCCACCAAAAAAATCTTGTCTTGAATTCTCACTATTCTACGCATTTCATTCACCCTCCAATCTAAAAAAAAAGAAGAGCTAGACTATGAATAAAACTAACTGAAGTGGCCAGTACTTCCAAGAAAAAATATTCATTTGGAGTCCAGATTCTGGAGAATTCTGAAGTGGGTGGAGCTAAAAAGGAGGGCGTGTGAAGTGGTGGAAATACTTCTACACTTCAGCGCCATGGGAATGTTACGTAGCTGAGTTAATCAGGATTTTTTTGTTCTGTTTTTTTTGGACCAGGATTTTGTGTTAATCAAAATGAGAGAGAGAGAGAGAGAGAGAGAGAGAGAGAGAGAAATAACTAGAAAAGCCAATTCAGATACAATGAAACAAGAAAAAGAAGAATATGTCTTCAACTTTGTTTTCAAGCAGTAGAGCATCTCCATTGGCAACCACGGGGGCTTGAAGTAGAGAAAAACACCGAAGGGGAAAAAACTAGAGAAAAATACCTTTCTTCTTCTTCCTTCTCCCCGCCAAGTTACCTTTTTTAACGCACACTTTCCCTCGAACAGAATTAGATGGAGAATCAGGAGGCAGGTTGTTGTAGCCCAGTGTGTGTTTGTGACGTTTTTCTCTTTTCCGCTTCTTGTTTTTTTTCTCAATTGGTGAGATGGGAGCAATGAAGATGATTGTCTTTTGTTTTTCGAGGGAAAGGGGGGAAAATGAGATACTTGATTGGGAAATTATTCAGTTGAACAAAATTTGACAGGAATCAGAAGAAAAATCAGAAGAATGGAGATATGACTAGAGTCTGAGAATTTGAAAAATATAGAAAATTTCAATACCAACAAAATCAAAAAAAAAAGTGACACGACTGGAAAAGTTACTAATTTTGGAACAGTAAGAATTACAGAGATTACACATCCAGGATTACTGTAATACCGTAAACACTCTTATAGAAGGCCTCCTAAATCGATAACGTTAGGTCCATATATCTCCTTTCCTGTGAAAGATCAAAAAGAAGTCAACTGATAAATTAGCATAATATCACAAACATTTTATTAGTTGACGCTTTTTTGATATATTTCGAAGGGACCGAGATAATTGAGCTCAACGAGCACGTATAGGATAAGCTTCTATTAGAGCAAACCTTCTATTAGAGCGTACCTTTAGAACAGTCAATATTGCGAAGATTCATCATCCAGGATTACTGTAACGGTTGGGAAATTTTGCGAGGTTACTGTAACTTGGATGACAGACAATGCGCTTGAAATTTTGCATTACATTATGCAAATTAGCTGGAAATTTTGATAAATTACTCCAGAAACTGAAATTCGCATATTTCGAGATAAATGTGAATTTTCATTCACTTCAAAAATTTTGTTATTTTACTGATTAGTGCTTTCTGGGATTTTCAGTATAACTTGGCAATTTCAGACGGTTTCTTAGAACATTAAAATAAACTAACAAATTTGTAATATACCGTAAATGCTCTAATAGAAGCCCACCCTATATGTTTGCTTTGAGCTCAATCATCTCGGTCTGAATAAGAGTTATCAAGAACTGGTAAACCAATAAAATATTTCTGATATTATGATAAACAAATTATCAGTTGTCAATTTTTTGATATGTTTTGTAGAAACCGAGATAATTGAACTATAATTGTCTTTAGAGCTAAAACAGTAATTCAACAAACCTGAAATAATTTTACTGAAATTGCCTTCAAAAATACGGAAACTACAATTTAAAAACCTCGAAAATTGTGACCACAAAAAATAAAATAATTTCATACTTGGAATAAGCAGACACACCAGCTAATCCCACACCCCCAGCAACCCTTAATTAGCCACTTCCTCTTCTTTATTTCTCACGAAAAATATTTATCATTTGACGACGATTTTGTCGGTTTCTCTCTGAAAAGATCAATTTTTTAAATTTCAGTCTCGAAGGAATACCGAAGGTCCTGGAGAAATTTTGTGGCTTCTACAGAATGTTGCACAAATTGTGTCTCTGTATTGAGCAGACATCATAGCGTATATAATGATTCCAATACACATAGATGAGCATATGAAGGCGTCAACTTGACTGTAGATGTATTCGTCTAGTTGTCTGAAATTGTTATTGATTAGTAGATCCTTCAACAACTTTGAGCCAAAGTTGTCAGGTCCTTCTATTACAGGTTTCACAGAACTTACACGAAATCTGATGGATTTATAAGACCAAGAGCAAAAAGGAAAACGTATGGAAGTTCTGCGAAGATGTAGCAGAAGAGAAAGGCAACAAGGCCGTATGTAGCATTTATCTGTTTTTTGGTATTTTCAGCGGATTTGACTGGGCCAGGAGAACGGAGCTCAATAACTAAGAAAATGGTGAGAACGATCATGATGAAAATTGGAATAATCTGAAAGTAAGGTTTATTTTTCATTCTATTAAAATGTTCGAAGAGTTATATTTTCTTAACAATTGCGAAAAAGTTCCGAAAAATCCGAAATGCCCGATAAACGCTGCTTAGAAAACCTTGCTGAAAAAAGGTTGTAGGGACGAGGGTTTGAATTCCCGCGCAATGAGAAATTTAGGCAACGGTAGCAGGCGGGCTTCCTATCAGGTGGCGGACGAGATAACAGCTGAAACAATCCGGAAAGTTTTCTATATGAAAAAGGCTTCTCACTGCGGTTTCTAGCCTAGGTTTCTCATTGCCCGGTAATTCGAATCCTCGTCCCTCTTTGCAGCCTTTCTATATTTTCGGTCGCGTTTTTGGGGCTTTCAGATTTAAAAAAATTAAATTCAATAAAAACTTTTTGTTGATTAAACCGAACTCACAAAACCTGTCACACCGGCAATTGACAATAATATCCGTCTCAGACAGTCTCCAGAAAACGCTTCAATATTGTACACTTTTTGGTATTTACATCTGAAACATTGAATTGTTCAATTTTTCGAATTCGTCTGACTATAAGAACCCACCTCTTTTCCTTTATCAACTCTTCAATTTTCTCCTCATCCACAATCTCTTCAATTCGATGGTATGATACTCTTAGCAGGTGATTGAAGAAAAAAATGGCCGTCATTAAACAAATAAAAGATATCATGAAGATTTTCAACATTTTTGATCCGGGTGGGGACCTGGAAATTTAAATTTTCTGTTACTCGGATGACCGTATTTTTTTGTAATACCCTATAGGCACTTGGAGCTCAATTATCTCGATTACTGTCACAGATTTCAAGAAATTGTAAACTGATAAGTTGTTAATCATAATATCACCGATACTTTGACAGTTGACAAATTTTTGATATATTTTATGGGAACCGAGATGATTGAGCTCAAAGTGCATCTCCAGGGTGGCTATTACAGAAAACACGGTAGTTGAAACATACAGTCCACGCTTGACCTCCAAGATTACCATAGCTCTCAAGAAGGTGATGTAGATAATTAGCCATAGAATGAATTGATTGATAATTTGGTAGGCGAGGAAATAAATTAGCTGGAATGAAGTTGAACTATCATAGTCTTACATGTACCGTGCTAACCCCTACAACATAGTAGCGATACGAATGATGACAGGTGCCAAAATGTTCATGAACTTCGAAAACACTCTTTATCACTCTTATCACTCCACTCAACACTCCACAAAGCGCTATGCAAATCATCTCTTTGGATACGGATTGTGTTCGCATTGCTGGCCTCGTTAGAATAGTCAAATGGAAAATGTTGAAAAGAAAAATATAAAGTGGTTATGATCAGAACTATTATCATTGTAGGACCTCGATATTGTCTGGAAATGTTTCAGATGTACTTGGATATCGGTAAGTGGTGCTCTCACAGGTCAAAGTTTTTGAGAGCGGTTTGTCCCTACAACCTTTTTTCAGCAAGGTTTTCTAAGCAGCGTTTATCGGGCATTTCGGATTTTTCGGAACTTTTTCGCAATTGTTAAGAAAATATAACTCTTCGAACATTTTAATAGAATGAAAAATAAACCTTACTTTCAGATTATTCCAATTTTCATCATGATCGTTCTCACCATTTTCTTAGTTATTGAGCTCCGTTCTCCTGGCCCAGTCAAATCCGCTGAAAATACCAAAAAACAGATAAATGCTACATACGGCCTTGTTGCCTTTCTCTTCTGCTACATCTTCGCAGAACTTCCATACGTTTTCCTTTTTGCTCTTGGTCTTATAAATCCATCAGATTTCGTGTAAGTTCTGTGAAACCCTGTAATAGAAGGACCTGAC